CCTGGCTGTCCTGGAACTTACTCTATAGATCAGGCTGGTCTTAAACTCAAATCCACCTGCTTTTGCCTGGAATTAAAGGCCTGTGCCGCTGCCACCTGGCTAAAATTGTATAGCCCAGGCTAGTCTCAAGCTTGTGACCCTCCTGTCTCTGCTTCCTTCAGCAAATACAACCACAATCAACTCTCCTTCACTTTTATTTGTGTGTCTGTGTTTTTTTTTTTGTTTTGTTTTTGTTTTTGTTTTGTTCTTGTTTTGGTTTTTCGAGACAGGGTTTCTCTGTAGCTTTGGAGCCTGTCCTGGAACTTGCTCTATGGACCAGGCTGGCCTTGAAATCTGCCTCCTGGAGGGCTGGGATTAAAGGCGTGCCACACCACTGCCCAGCTCCTTCAGATTTTTTGAGACAGTCTTGCAGATTTACCCTGACTGACTTCAACAGCAGATATCCATCCTCCTGTCTCAGTCTCTCTACTGCTAGGCTTATAGGTGTGCCCTACCAAACCAGGCTTTTCCCTTAAGTTTTTGATTTGGCCTACTTTTTGCTCCTCACTGTCACTTAGATGTCTCTTAGATGACATCAGGCCCCATAGTAATGCTGCTTCCTTGCTCTCCAATTTAGGCTACCAGGGTAGAAAGTAAGAATAAAGCTTTGGGCTGGGCATTGGTGGTGAACGACTTTAATCCCAGCACGCAGGAGACAGGCAGGTAGGTCTCTGAGTTCAAGGCCAGTCTGGTGTACAGAGTGAGTTCTAGAACAGCTAAAGCTACACAGAGAATCCCTATCTTGAAACCCTCCCTCCCCAAAAAAGAATAGAGCTTTGGGAGTATCTACCTCTTGTTTATACACAAGGCATAGTGGTTGCTGCTGTGAGCGAGATAGAGGAGGTGATGCCTGGGTTTTGTTTGCAGTGAGTTGATGGATAGAAACATCCATGTTCTTACCTTTGTGGTGAATTTGTGATACTGGAACTTGAAACTAGAACCTCACAAATGCCAGGCAAGCACTGTATCTGAGCTGGAGCCCCAGGCCCACAGTATTTTGTTTGCTTATGTATTTTTGAAATTGGATCCCCTGTAGCCAAAGTTGCTCTCAAACTCTATAGCTGAGGATGCTCTTGAACTTTGATTTCATGTATTTTGTAGGATGGCATGTGCACATGTGGAGGTCAGAGGAGGTGGGTGGGTTCTCCTTCTACTAAGCAAGTTCCTGAAGCTCAAACTCAGGTGGTGAGACTCTGGCGAGCTCCTTGATCTGCTGAGCCATCTTGCAAAACTGGCAGTTGTGGTTTTTTGTTTGATTGTTTTTTTGTTTTGTTTTTTTCTGATTTGCTGGTTTAGTGCCTGTCTCTCTCCACCTAGAGCATTAATACAGTTCTGTCTGAAACAGGTCCTGGTGGGGACAGTATCCTCCCATGCCTATAGCACAGGGTGGAACAGGAAATGGGTCTGCTAAAGAAAATACCTCCCAAGCCAGTCCTCATCCTGGCTTTCAACCCAGCCTCAGCTGAACTAGGTGCTACTCTCCCCCAGGTCGGGTATACTACTTCAATCACATCACCAATGCCAGCCAGTGGGAGCGGCCCAGTGGCGGCAGCAGTGTTGGAGGCAGTAGCAAGAATGGCCAGGGAGAGCCAGCCAGGGTGCGCTGCTCGCACTTGCTGGTGAAGCACAGCCAGTCTCGGAGGCCCTCATCCTGGCGGCAGGAAAAGATCACCAGGAGCAAGGAGGAGGCCCTGGAGCTGATCAATGGTAAGTGGAGGAGATGGGGACTTGGGGGGGGGGGGGGTCTCAGTTCATTTTCCTAATCATCCTGTGACAGAATAACCCTGACAGAGGCCAGCAAGAGGGTTCAGCCAACACAGGCACTCGCTGCTAAACCTGAGGTCCTGCATTCTGTTCCCAGAATTCCCGTGATGGAAGGGGAGAGCCTTCTCCTCGGAGTTGTTCTCTCACCTTTTAAGTTTAAAAAGAAAACAATATACATTTTGTGGAGAAAGGTTTGTTTGGACTCACATCAGTTCCAGGTCACAGTTCACAACAAAAAAGTCATAGTGGCAAGAGTGGGTGCCATCATGGTGTCAGGAACAAAGAGCCATGTGCCTGTGCTGGTGTTCCATTTGCCCCCTCTGTCTTGGGTTGGGATCCCCTACCCGGGGGGTGGTCCTGCCAACAAGTAAGATGGGTCCCTCGTATCAGTTAACATGATCGGGATAATTCCCCCAGGATCCACAGCAGCCCATCTTCCAGGTTATTCCAGTTCCTGCCAAACTGACAAGAAGTACTACCCATCATGGGGGCCTTGTAGAAGGGGGCCACAAAACCCTCCACCCAGTCCACTCAGCTGTCACTTCTAGAGAAGTGCCTGCATTGTACTGGGGTTGTAGCTCAGTTGTTAGCATGCTACCTAGCTTGCAGGAATCCCTGGCTTCAGTGTCTAGTACCCTGTGAATCCAGCATCTGTAATCTCAGCATAGAGATAGATAAAGGATCAGAAACTCAAGCTTGGTGATGTGATGGAAAGACACTTGCCAGTAAACCTGAGGGCCTGAATTCAGTTCCTGGGACCCACACAGATGAAGTAGAGAACCACCTCCCTCAAGCTGTCCTCTGGCCTCAGTGAAAACACTGTCATGTGTGCAGAAATAAATACAATTTTTAAAAAGATTTATTTATTACGTATACAGAGTTCTGCCTGCATATATGCCTGCAGGCCAGAAGAGGGCACCAGATCTTACTATAGATGGTTGTGAGCCACCATGCAGTTGCTGAGAATTGAACTCAGGACCTCTGGAAGAGCAACCAGTGCTCTAAACCTCTAAGCCATCTCTCCAGCCCCTGCAATTTTATTTATTTATCTATACATCTATCTATTTTTTTTCTTTGGTTTTTTGAGACAGGGTTTCTCTGTAGCTTTGGTGCCTTTCCTGGAACTAGCTCTATCTATCTATTTATTTATTTTGAGTTCTGGGTCCTACATAATGAGTTCAAGGCCAGCCTAGGCTACTTGAAGACCTTGAAAAGAAGTATCTACACAGTGGGATGAACTCGCCCACATAGGCCCCTCTCTCTTTTCTTTCTACTTGCCATTTGGAGTGACCAGGTTTAGAAAGCCAGCGTAGTGGCTGTGTCTGCTAAGCTCTGTGTTCTGGAAGACTCAGCCTCACTCAAGACTCAGTTTTCTCTTCTGTAAAATGAGTGAGTGTTAACTTATACCTACCCCCAAGGGCCATTGTAGCAATGCATAGGAGGCTGTTTTGGTCGTTAGAGAGGGGCCGGGGCGTCTGTGGGTAGGTCTGGTGAGCACAGCACTGGCTGGCTCTGTAGAGTGATAGTCAGTTTTGTCCCACAGGCAGAGGCTGGCCACTTTTCCTTTGTAATTTACAGCAAGGTTGGCAGACTTTGTTGTTGAATCATTCTTTGTTTTGTTTTGTTTTTTTTTGAAACTGCCTATTTTTGATAAATATATGTATGTGTCTTTTGCCTGCTTGTACGTATGTGTACCTTGTGTGTGCCTGGTGTCAGAGGAGGCTAGAAAAGGCATTGCGTTCCCTAAAATTGGAAGTAGGTTTATGAGCTACCATGTGGTTGTTGGAAACTGAACCCAAGATTTTTGTAAGAGCAGCCAGTGCTCTTAACTTCTAAGCTATCTCTTCAGTCTGTGTGTGTGTGCACACGCACGTGTGTGTGTGTGTGTGTGTGTGTGTGTGTGTGTGTGTGCGCGCGCGTGCGTGCATGCTAGGTAGCTTAGGTGACAGAAGTTTCTTTTCCAAGGTTCTAGAAAAGTGCATGCCTCATGCCTTTCCTCAAGATTGACTCTCACTAGCCACCACAGACCTGTGCCTTCTCACCTTCCTCATCAGGTTCCTGGTGAGATTGCTTTTCTTGTCTTGCAGACAGCTGCTTCTGTTGTGTCCTTTGGCGATCTTGGCTACTTTATGTTTGTTCCCCCTACCCTACCCCTTTACTGATAGAGCTTATACAGCTTAGGCTGACTTTTAAACTCCCCACGTAGCCAAGGGTAACCTTGAACTTCTTACCTGTCCACCTCTAGCTTCTAAGTACTAGGATTTTAGGTTTATGCCACCATTCCTAGTTTGGAGATTGAACCTGGGGCCTGGTGCAGGAAGGTGAGCTCTCTGCCAACTGAGCTAAAACCTTAGCCTAACAGTGTCTCTTTTTATGAACAGGTGCTTATCATTTCAGGGCCCACCCTTGTAAACTCCTTATCTCCGAAGATAGTAAATCAGGAACCAGGACTTCTTCATTGTGAATATCGGGGCACATATTATCATGCAGCCTATAACAGAGCAATGAGCATTTATGTCTGTCAAGGACTTGTTCTGCATAGCCTTGACTATGACAGTCACACATTCATCTCTCAGAATAACCCTCTGAAGTAAGAGCTCCCATTAGCCCATTTTTTTTTCTTTTACACTCATTTATTTGTATGCATGCAAGCATGCTATTGCAGACATGTTGAGGTTAGAGGAAAACCTTCAGGAGTTGGTTCTTCTGTTCCACTGTGGGGGTCCTGAGGGTGGAGCTCAAATAGTCAGGGATGGCACAAGCACCTTTACCCACTGAACCATCTCCCTGGCTCCCCAATGCCCCAATTCATAGAACAGTCATTTTATGAGGCTCCCAGAAGCAGAATCAACCCTTCTTTTGGCCATTGGATATTCATAAGGCTGGGTAACCACAGAATAGAATCAGATCCAGCAACTGGAATTAGAGCATGGCCTGACTCTCTTCTGAGCCTTAGACTGCTGAGCCCACACATGTCTGCAGAGATGGATAGTCATCTGTTAGGCTTGCTGTCTAGGGGGCTCCTGAATGCCCTTTTCTTAGTCACTGTTCTGTTGCTGTGAAGAGACACCATGACCAAGGCAGCTCTTATAAAAGCAAGCATTTAATTGGGGGCTTGCTTACCATTTCAGAGGTTAGTCCATTATCGTCATAGCAGGGAGCATGGTGGCACAGTTGGCACTGGAGAAGTAGCTGAGAACTTTATTTACATCCTAATCCACAGGCAGGCAGAGAGAGAGAGAGAGAGAGAGAGAGAGAGAGAGAGAAACACTGGGCCTGGTGTGGACTTTTGAAACCTCAGAGTCCACCCCGGCAAATACACTTTCTCCAACAAGGCCACACCTCCTAATCCTTCTAATCCTTTCAAACATTTTCACTCTTTGGTGACTAGGCATTCAAATATATGAGCCTATGGGGGTTTTCATATTCAAACCACCACAATCCTAAAGCAAGTAGAGGGCCCTATTCCAGTGTGGGAGCTCTGGAGAGGCTGCTCCCAAAGGGAGAATTCTCCCCCAGAGTCCTGGCTGGGGTGCTGTTCCGTCCTGCCTCCTAGTGAGGCTGGGATTTGTCCTGGAGGAAGCCCAGGAAGTCTGGCCTCAGCTCTTGAGTACAGAGGTCCAGGTGACAAAAAGCAAGAGATGGCAGTGTCTCTAGAATAGTGATAGGTCCCTATCTCCTTCCTCGTGGCTAGTTTTTACTTCACTTATTCATGAATTCCTTAGCCTCCAGGAACTCCTGTCTAGTGCACAGGTACAGGGGTGGGGAGCACTGGTAAACAAGGAAACCTGGCTAAATTTTTTTGTGACAGTATCTCATTATGTAGCCCAGATTGCCTCAGTGTCCTGAGTGCCAGGATTCATAGGCATGCACCGTCCAGCCCAGTGCTTTCATTATTAAACAGCTGTAACTTGACAATGAGTAAGAAACTATAGCTGGTGGGGAGGGGACAGCTGGAGAGATAACTCTGCTGTCTACTCTTCCAGAGGACTGGGTTCAATTCCCAGCACCCATAAAATTATCAACTGTCTATAACTCCAAAGATCTGACACTCTCACATAGGGATACATGGAGGCAAAGCACCAAATGCTCATAAAATAAAAATAAATTTAAAAAAAGAAAGAAATGGGCTGGAGAAATGGCTCAGAGGTTGGGAGCACTGACTGCTCTTCCAGAGGTCCTGAGTTCAATTCCCGGCAATCACATGGTGGCTCATAGCCATCTGTAGTGTGATCTGGTGCCCTCTTCTGGCCAGCAAGCATACAGACAGACAGAGAACACTGTATACATAAAAAATAAATAAATCTTGAAAGAAAGAAAGAAGGAAAGAAAAAGAAAGAAAGAAAGAAAGAAAGAAAGAAAGAAAGAAAGAAAGAAAGAAAGAGAAGGAAAGAAACCCTATCATATCTGGCTATGGCTACATCTAGGTGGGCAGATTTGGGGTATATCCTTTGTTCTCCACAGAAGAACATAGGGAGTCCAGTGCTGTGAAGGTGGGCCTGGGAATACAGCCAGGCATCCAGGGAGAGTAGAAACAGGACTTTAATAGGTGAGAGTCACTGATATGATTCATTCTGTACAAGGGGGCTCTTAATACCATGTTTTCCAGATAGATGTCACCATGATATGCAGGTCAAACTGCATGGCCTTGTGTGCCTCTGATAGGCAGCTCTTTGTGGTGACAACCACTTCTGACCAAGGCAGCAAGGATAGGCAGAACAGAGGGGAACTGGGGAGCCCCTGATAGTCAGGTGTACCCTGGCAGTATGCAGACCAAGCACCAAAGTAGCTGCCTTGCAATGCATTCAGATAGGGGTGCCGCCTGGGCTCTCAGTCATACTGCCTGCCCTGTGTGCCAAGCATTGACCCTACAGAAGCCTGAGACCCAGAGCCCTTTGGGAAGTGGTTGGGTTTCTAGGCTTCAAGATAATGGTTGTAGCAGTAGTAGCTGTCAGACAGACACCATTGGGACCTTCAGTGGTGTGCACACTGGTCTGCTCACAGATATTCGGAAACCTTTTGAAGATCAGGCAGGAAGAATGAGTAAGTGGAGGTCTAGGAGCAGCTGTGTCAGGCCAGCCTGACATGCAAAGAGCTCATTGTGGAGCCTATTGTGACAATGCATGCTTATGACCCCAACACTCCAGAAGCTGAGGCAGGAAGGATGAGGGTTCAGGGAGAGCCCAGGCTGCACAGGAGGCTCTATCTCAGAAATAAAAGGACTGGGTTCCCTGAGGAGTCTCTGCCAGGCCAGCTGGGAAAGCTTTGGGGGCTGCTCAGGTCAGAGTGGTTACCCTGGGCATCTGTCTGTGTGATGGCTGCAGGTTGGGCAGGAGTAGGGGACAGAGGATCTTGTGTGTCACAGGCTTTTTGGTCCACCTCAGGCACTGCCTGGATTGAGGTGCCTGGCAGCTCCCCACCTAGCAAGTGTCTGTGTGTGCTTAACATAATCTCCCTGCTCCTGAGACATGTCATACAGACATGGTATCGCACTGCCCTGAGCCTCAGTCCTTTACATATTGTTGTTGTTGTTGTTGTTGTTGACAGGGTTTCTCTGTGGCTTTTGGAGCCTGTCCTGGAACTAGCTCTGTAGACCAGATCTCGAACTCACAGAGATCCGCCTGCCTCTGCCTCCGGAGTGCTGGGATTAAAGGCGTGCGCCACCATCGCCCGGCCTGTTACTTTGTTTTGATGGTTGACAAGTGTTTGAAGGTTAGAAGACAACTTACAGGAATTGGTTCTTCTTTCCACCATTGTGGACTCCGGAGATGGAACTCAGGCAGCCTTTATGACATGTGACTTTGTTGTTATTTTGAGACTGCTTCAGTCACCATTCATCTTCTTCTCCGTAGCCCTGACCTCCTGGCCCTGCAGGAGAGTCACGGCCTAGTGGAGATGCTTTAATGCTTCCTGGGCTCTGCCAATTGTGACGCCTGTTGTGTGGCTTGCCTGTGGAACAGTTGTGTGGACTCTCACACACTGCCCTTACAGCCTCACCTCAGGGTCTCTTCTGTGCCTCTCGTGTTGCATGGGTAGGGACTCCTGATGCCCACTGCTGAAGATGCCACCAGCTTCTGTGCAGAGCTTGGCTGCATACTCCTGTGGTCTCCAGAGCCTTGAGACTGCCCAGGGGTGGGCAGTCATTCGCTGTGAGGTTCCAACTCTGTTTTTGTCCAGGGCTGAGAAGAGGTCACTGAGTGTGTGTGGGTGCTTCTATTCTTGTACATCTATGGGTGACTAGCCCACCTATAAGGTCATAGTTTGACCAAAGGTGCATGGGGTTGACTGACAGGTTTGCACCCTGGGGACATGTCTTGCATGTGGGAAGACTGTCTTCATGGGTGCACATGATAAGGACACAGGATTGGTTGCTTGGACATGATGGGGTGGGAATTGTTATTGGAGGGCAGTAGCATATCTTTATATGCACTGGCCCAGCTCCTAGGAGTAGCTTGCTCTCCCTTTGTGCCCCTGCAGGCTACATCCAGAAGATTAAGTCAGGAGAAGAAGATTTTGAATCTCTGGCCTCACAGTTCAGCGACTGCAGCTCTGCCAAAGCCAGGGGAGACCTTGGTGCCTTCAGCAGAGGTGAGCAAGAACCACACCCAGTCTCTTCCCTGTGATGTTGGGGGTGGTTGAGCCCATGAAGGAAGGGAGACCCTACTCTGCCTTCATGGTCCACCAGGTGGCAGCACAGCCCTCAGATTTCCTGGCCTGTGTTTCTTGTGCTGCAAAAGGAATGTAAAACATCCCTGGTATCTTCCCTCCAAGATCATTGTCCCTTCCTAGGCCCATCAAGGTGACTCTGTTCTGCAGTTGGCATCTACTGGCAGAGCTATAGGATGGGATCCCTGAGAACTCCTCTGCTCCTGTCACCCTTTGGCAGGTGTGGAAAATGGGCAAGGTCAGGTCCAGATAGGCAGCCCAGAGCTCAGACTTGTGTGTCAAGGGCAGAGGGAATCAGGATCTCTCCCTCCTCACTTCTCTCCTTCATCTCCTTTGCATGGGCTGGGAATGTGAGGTGTTGGGCACCTGCCTGGGAGAGGGAGCCTAGTGAGGCCCTCTGCTGTCAGCCCAAGCTATCTGCAGGACAGACTGTGTTCAGCTGGAAGCCAGAGTTCATCATGCAGTGTCTAAGAGCACAGCACGGCTCTGCCTGCCATCCCTCATGCTGTCCTTGGGCTTCCCAGAGCCACAGCTCAGTACTGCACAGTGACAGGGCCATAAACCCTGTGATGAATGTGCTGAGACTAGGCGTAGGCAGGAGCCCCATCTGTCATGCAGCCCGTGCCTGACCCCCACTGCCTCTGCTATTTCTCACAGGTCAGATGCAGAAACCGTTTGAGGATGCATCGTTTGCTCTTCGGACAGGGGAGATGAGTGGGCCAGTGTTCACAGATTCGGGCATCCATATCATCCTGCGCACAGAATAAGGCCAGTGCCTGGCCAGCCAGCCCATGGATGCCCTTCCTGCTACTGTCACACAGTATTTATTGTTCCTGAAATGGCTGGGAGAGGGGCTCCAGATAGTAACTCTGAGCTCCCTACTTCCTGTTTGACCCCATTTGGGGCTGTCCTAGCCAGGCTTCTTCTGAAGGAATCAACTTCAGAAGGGCAATGGGGGTATGGAAGCCCCAGGCTCAGGGGGTCAAAGGTGACCTGACACCCAGGTCTCAGAGGCAGGCAGGAGGGCCTTGTTTCTTGTTAGTTTTATGCTCTGTTCTTCTGTTCAGTTGCAAAAAGCAGACGCTGCACACCTGGCGATGCAGTACCTCAGCCTCGGTTGTGATGCAGCGCCCATGCACCTCCATTAAATCTGGAACCACTGGCTGGTGGTCTTGTATCTCATTACCTTTGCTGTGAGGTGTGAGGCCCTGTCTCAAGAAGGGAACTGTCATTCACCATGCCCCAAGCCCAGGTGTCCAAACTGTTTTCTAGTCCTAAGAAGCTACCTTTTCCAGGGCCTGGGGGTGATGGCAAGAATTTTTCCCACTAGATAGACTTCCAGGGCAGCAAGATACCTCTGGGCGCCACCAGTCCAGACCCAGTTATACCAGCTCCCCTGGAGACTGTTCAAGGACACACAGACCACCCTTGCACACCCCACTTCCATCTGGTAGATCTGGAGAGATCCTGGGGGAACCTGGCTCAATACCTGCCTTGGCACACCCCATCCCCAGCACACACAGAGATTGCCTACTGGTGAGAACATATTGCATCCAGCATCTGCCACCCACTTCTGGCTGGTTATTCCTGGGTTCAGCCACCAGACCTAGCACCCTCCAGATGCTGTTTCCATGGCAACAGAGGCCCCTTCGACTGGAGTAAAGGGGGGCTTTGTCAGTTCCCAGAAGAACACGGATCCTGGTAGAGGGAACTGGGGAATGGATGTTGCTTTGAGTGGCAGCTGGGAGAAGAAGGAACGGGCTCCCCCACCTTGGCTAGGGGGCCCATGTCTCCTAAGACTGCCCCTGAGCCTAGCTTGGCCTGAGGGCTCAGAATTCAATAAGGTTTCTGTCTAACCTACAAGTGATGGGGCCAGCCTGGTTGGTGGGGGTGGCTGCAACCAGTAAGGCTTGGAGACCAAAGCATTATTAAGCCTGGACCCCAAGGGAGCCCTCCCTCCCCACAGGCCTGAGTCTTCTGAAGTCACCTGAGCTCCCATCTGTCTGCTTTCTACAGCAGTCTCTCTTTGCCAGCTGCCTGCTGGAGCATTTGTCATTAGGAAGGTTTAATGAGTTTCTTCCCAGCTCAGGCAGGCACTTCCAGCAAAACGTTCTCCTGTGGGCCAGTGGGTTCTCAAGGCAGTCACAGCTTTACTGTCTTGTAACAGTTGGGTGGGCTCAGGAGGCAGTGGAACCCCTCCAAGTATGATGGTGCCTTTGTGGGGGAGGAGAGGACCCCTATCCTGGCTTGGAATATCAAGAGCTCTGGAAGGATCTCGCCAAGGCTGCTGCCACATCTGAACCACTACCTGTGAGAAGCAGGCATTACCACAGTGGTAATTTGTGCATCCCGTATATGGCCATGTGACTTGGTATCTGTGTTCTCTATGACCCTGACCCTCCATGTGGGGTTTGTCCTTTTGAACTCCAGCCAACCCCTTCCCTTGTCTCTATATAGTGGTGAAAACCCAAGACTGAACATGGCTGTTAGACAGATGTGCCCCGGGAGCCCACTCAGTGTCCCCACATGTATTATTAACTACCTGTGGTTTTCCTCACCTGCTCCAAGTTCCCACCCAGGCCTGCTAGGGAACTGGCAGTAAATCCTGGGCCTTTAGGATGGCAACAGTTAGCACCCCTCCTTCCCTTTCTCCCCTCTCCCCACCCCCTATTGGGATCGAAACTTGTCTTTTTGTGCAGACTCCACTGCTCATTCTTAATGGGCTCTTCTTAGAGCAGACACTGGGGATTCTGGGTTATTGTTGCAGTAGAGAATGGCAGCTTCCTGACTGCAGCCAAATGCTCATGATTTAGGGAAAGTTGGTTAATTCAGCACCACAGAAGACAGACACAAATGAATCTGGCTGTGATGGATGAGCGAGGAGGGTAGGACTGCTTGCTCATCCTTTGTGTGTATGTGTGCACATACATGTGCATTCAAGTGTTTACATGCGTATACAGTGGGTGTGCATGTATGTAAGTGACACAGTGGGTAGATGTGCTGCCAGGTGCTCTGGCCCAAGTCAACACTCCATGCCCACACGAGACAGACCTGTTCACATCAGACTCGTCCTTGTGGGAACATGTCTTCAGGCGCAGGTGTACTCTGCAAAGGCTAGAACTCCACAGCCTTAATGGTTGCAGCTACATCTCCATATCTGAGACCATGACCTCCTTGAGCACAAGTCATAGGCAGGAAGCATACAAACTCTTTTTCTTTTTTGGGATTTTGAAACAAGGGCTCACCCAGGTGACACCAGCCTCCCAAGAACTGGGATGACAAGTCGGTTCCTCCATGCCAAGCCTCTGCTGTTTTTAGTCTGTCTCCCATGCTAATCCGGGACCTTACCACCCCCCCATGTCATGCTTGTTCATTTACGTGGGAATGAATTGCTCTTCGTGAGGATGCCTTTAGAAATTGGTTTTAAATGAGTGCATTAGGCAGCCCCATTCATTATTCATGGGTTTCCTTCCCAGTATGGCATCCAAGTCCAAGTTCCCGGAGATGATTTAATCACAGAGGCCATTAATTAGAGATGGGGACAGCAGCCTCCTGGTGACCTCAGCAGGGTGGGGTCAGGACCACTGGAGATCATCACATGCTCTTCCTGCTCTGGGTTCAGGGGCCTGACATGGGGGATGGGAAGGCAGCATGTATCACTGCCCCCTTCCCGATGGAAACCTTGCACATCGTCCCTGCTCTGCCGACTCATCCCTCTAGCCCAGTGGTTCTCAACTTCCTAACCTGCCCTTTCATACAGCTCCTCATGTGTTGGGGACCCCCAATTGTAAAATTATTTTTATTGCTCCTTCATAACTTCTTTTGCCATTGTTCTAAACCTTATTATTTTTGGAGGTGGAGGTTTGGCAAGGGATCGAGAGTCACAGGTTGAGAACCACTGCTCTGCCCTCCTCCCACAGGCAGATCTGGTTGACACTGAAGCCCTCATCATGCTGTGTGACTCAGTTGGCAGAGTGTTTGCCTGGCGTGAATGAAGCCCAGGGCTCCATCCTTAGCACCATATAAACCAGGTATGGCGGTGGAGGTAGAAGCAGGAGACTCAGAAACCCCAGGTCATTTTTAGCTACAAAAGGGCAGCCTGTGCTGCGTGGACCTGTTTCCTAATCCTTTATTTTATTCCAGCACTGCTACCACCAGGCCTCTGGCTGTCTAGCCCTGTCCTGCTACCTCCTTTTTCCCTTTTTCTTTTTTTAAATATTTATTTATTATGTATACAATATTCTGCCTGTGTGTATGCCTGCAGGCCAGAAGAGGGCACCAGACCTCATTACAGATGGTTGTGAGCCAATATGTGGTTGCCAGGAATTGAACTCAGGACCTTTGGAAGAGCAGGCAATGCTCTTAACCACTGAGCCATCTCTCCAGCCCCTTTTTCCTGTTTTCTGTTGCTTTGCTTTTTTTTTTTTTAACACAGTGAATAGATTTATTACGGAAGAATGAGAAATAATTACTAGGTCCAAGAGGTTACCTAAGGAGGAATCCTGACACTTCCATTTTAGCCTATGCACCTCCCAGGACTCTGTCCCAGCCTGTTATGGGCAAAAGAATTCTTATGTGGAGTGCAGTGGGTTTGTCCAAAACTTGGCCCTGTGCACCTTTTAAGTTACTTTGAATCTTGCTATTAACTAGCATGGCTTTTGTAGAAGTGATTTCCACAATTACAAAGCACAGAAGAAATTGAGGGTCCTCACCTCTCTCAAAAGCAGCCAAATTATTAAGAAGCCATTAGAACATCATCAGACAGCCCAGTGATGTGCTACCGAGATCAATGAGTGAGCCAGCAACCAGGGAATACACATTTAAGACCAGTTTTCATCATCATATTAGGGTTCTCTGTTCTGATCCCAACTGCTTTTAAATGAATTGCTTTTGACTGAAACATTTTTTTTTTTAATGGTTTTTCAAGACAGGGTTTCTTTGTGGCTTTGGAGCCTGTCCTGGAACTAGCTCTGTAGACCAGGCTGGTCTCGAACTCACAGAGATCCGCCAGCCTCTGCCTCCCGAGTGCTGGGATTAAAGGCGTGCGCCACCGTCGCCCGGCTGACTGAAACACCTTTGGATTGGGTGGGCTTCTCTGGAGGGAGGAGCGTCACAGGATCCCACCTCAGGTCCACTCTAAGCACGGGATAAAAGGAGTCAGTGGAGTCAAGTCTTGAAACCACCACTGGGTACAGAGCAACCCAGGCATCAAATGTCAAAGGTCCGGTTTATTCTGGCAACCCGGAAAGAAAATGTGTAAATAAATAAAAAAAAAAAAAATCCATGCACTCAGATCCAGAGGGAGGGAGGGATAAGGAATGTGTGGGAAACAGAGAAGGGAGGGAAGGACGGAGAGTGGGTCGAGGGAGAGGAGAGGGGTTTGGTCATAAGGAAGAGAAGCATCCATAAAAAGACTCAGAAGTGAAGTATCAAAAGATCAATAAAATGGAGAAAAAGCACAGATAGAGATACAGAGAACAGAAAGCTGAGCTGGGAAGGTGGAGAGAGAAGGAATCTAGGAAGGGAAGGGCATGGCCAAGAGAAGGTTGAGGGGGTCACAAGCAATGTGGGAAGGATCCCCACAGCCTTTGCAGGGACACCTAGGGGTCCCCCGCAGTGCTGATGACGTGGAAGAGGGTGACGTTGTATAGCACCTGGTGCCCGTTGTTCCAGGTATACAGGGCCCGCTCCCTGGGGTTGTAATCCAGCATGGAGATGTGCGAGTACTGGTTGTGGAAGGGCACATCCGTGTACTCGTAGCTGGACGTGTTGGTGAAGTAGGCAAAGTAGACCTTGGCTCCGGCCAGGTGAGAGTTGGTCACATAGAGGACGCCGCAGATCATGAAGGCCTCCCCGGCACTGCGCTTGGGGTACCCGGTGTCCCAGGACCTCACGACCTCCAGGGTGTGAGGGTCCAGCCGACTGACAACGATGTTGCCCGCATTCTGATTAGTAGTGTACACAGCCCACAGCCCGCTCTCGTCTACCATGAAGTCCATGTCCGAGAAGCCACCCCAGGAATAGGGGAAGGTGTTGTTGTAGCCAGCCCCAGGGAGGCTCCTCTGCACCAACACGGAGCGCGACCGGAAGTGGTACTTGACCACCACATTGCTCTGGTACTTGTTGTAGAACAGAGAGCCGTTGTACACCACATGGCCCGTACCT